AAATAAAATTTGACCATTTTAGCATGGACTTGAACTAAATAAATTGATAAACTATTTCTAATAGAAAAGGCACTTATGTAACTTTGCACCCAAATGATATAATTGAACACTTGATAAGTGCTCTTGTCGAATCTCTACTACGTGAAATACTTCTCAATAAGTCATCATAATCTTAAACGGGCACCTAATAATCAAGAATTATCTAAGATGGAATATCATTTCTCTGCCAATTGTGCTAGCCATGTATCTTGTTTTAACAACACAAAATATTGCCTGCCTTCGAAAAATCAACACATAATTTTGTTGGTATCACTCAAAATTGGGTCAATTTCAATTATATTTCCCGAGATTTGACCTAATTAAAAAGTATGTCTTGTGATTTGATCAGACTATAGTCGAATCCCTTGATAGCAAAACATTTGTCACATACCCGGCCCTCACTTTAAATGCAACATTGCCAGTTAAACCCGGCCCTCACTTTAATTCTATTATTGCCTTTCAAGTTAAATACCTCTTCACATATAGGAAAGAAAATAAAACTTTCAGTTCATGACCAAAAAATACCATCTAATTTTTTTTTTTTGTCAATCATTGACATCTATACAATCCTACTTTATAGGGGGGAATTCAACTAAGTTGTACAAGGGGTTAGAGAGCAAGCAAATCCATCTTGACCAGGGAAGTGCTTTGGCACACCTTTTAGATTTCTTTTTTTAGCTATAAGGTACAGAGTTTAAACCCGACGTACAGTTTTAAAGAGAAATTTTATATCCCATATTTTGAATTGAAGTACCAAATTCTACACCCAATATTATATGCACATGTAAGGATACGATAGTCAATTGGGAAAAGATCTGAGCAATAGTCATATTGTGACATATAGGCAACAGAAAAGAAAACAGAAGCAACATTTTGTTTTTCGTTTTTCTATTTGTCTTTCCTTTTCTTTCTCATTTTAATAGTTTTAGTTTTGCTTTGACTATCTTCGCAATGGATTTAGGGTTTCTTTATAAATATTTGGCTATTCAAAATATTAGATTACAAATTGGTCAAATTATTAGTTCTGTAATTTGGACAAGGCTGAAGCAATGTCAATACACATTAAGCATTAAAAGCTTTTTATTTCCGGGCAATCATAGGCAATTTCTGTAATTGATACTCTTAGGTTTAGGTCATGAACACATTTGAAAAAAAAAAAAAATGGTTTGATTCCTTTTCAATGTGTTTATCTTCTTTCCTAGTGAAACATCCCCCCAATAATTTCTTGTTTCACTTTTTGTTTAATAGTTAACCATCCAGCATTATTTATCATGAAATAATATGTCGAGGATCCATCTATTCAAAAGGGTAGATTACAAATTGGTCAAATTACAAGATTAGTATTGTAAATTGTACAAGCCTGAAGCAATGTGAATATATATTGAGCATAGACTTTTTCTTCCTTTTTTTGAGCAATTATAGGCTATTTCTGCAATTGATATTCTAGGTTTAGTTCATGAACACCTTGGAAAAAGAAATGGTTTGATTCTTTTTCGACTTGTTTATTTTCTTTCCTAGTGAAACATGCACCTTATGATTTCTAAGTCTGCATTAGGATTGGTCATTTTTTGAAAACAAGATTTTCGTATACAATACTACAGTAATATATATAAATAAAAATAATCACAAAAATATCAAAAAGAACCTCAAAAACACCAAAAATAACCTAAAAAAACAATCTTATCTACATTAAAAGTTTTTCACCTATGTTGTTACAGTAAAATATTTCAAAAACATCCTAAAAAACAGCTAATCCAACTTGGCCATTTTTTTGTTTCATTCCTTTGTAGTGGTTAACTAACCGCCATTGTTTATCATGGAATTATATGTAGAGGATCCATCTAAGAAACCAAGAAACATACTTGATGTTGGATGCGGTATTGGTGGCAGCACCAGGTACCTAGCAAGTAAATACGGTGCTCAAGCCAAAGGCATCACCCTCAGCCCTGTTGAGGCCGAAAGAGCTCGTGTTCTAACTGCTGCCCAAGGATTGGAAAGTCAGGTTTGTATGAACTACCCGTGTTACAATTTTGAACGATTCGCAAGAACTTATCAATTGTTAAATCACCCTCGCCGCTCATCTTTTTATGCAAGTGCACAATGAGTAAAAATTTTCATTCCTCCATTTCTTAAGGAATGATGACAGAGTGCATACTACTACTATGCTTTCGAAAAAAAATTGTGAACCTAATGGTAGATGATTATTTCATGTAAAGACACACTTCTTAATTAGATTTTGAGTATAAAAGATACTTGTATTGACTTTTGGATATCACGTAGACTTTGCAGTAGATTTTGTTAAAAAGCTACTACAATTAACGTTCTTAGTGAATAGTTTGAATCATTATAATTAGTCACAGGTTAGACTCGCCCTTTTTACAGATTTTCCCCAATCTTTTAAACCATATAAAGCAAGAGGTGCATTTTCATAGAATACTAGATGGTAACCCATGCACATGCACATATTTATATTACCTGTTTATTTCTATGAGAAAGATAATAGACAAAGAATGAAGTTACATATGAACTAAACAAATTGTTGTGAGGAAAGTTAAAGCAAAAATATTTCAACAACAACAATGACGGGTATTTTACATACATACAAGTTAAAAAATACCGAATTACACCCGTTCACTGCAAGTATTCAGGTCAACTAGTAGTTTAGGGTATATATCGGGTCGATCCCACAGGGAAGAGTGAACAATTACCGGTATTACTAAAGCTTCTCTATTATTTAGACTATCAATGAATTATAACAAATTAAAACCTACTGAAATTATACAAATCAAAGCTCCTTAGGTTATGGTATCCCTAACTACTCATGCAAGTGCTATATTTGGATCATTGAATACTACATCTAGGCTAGTTATGGTGTAATTTCCTTATGCATTTGAAACCTACTTTCGTAGTGAATCAATTATACTTATAACTAATCCGTACCTATTCTCATGGTTATGAAATTAGCTACAAGTTCATTTCTTCAGTGAAATTACATGAAATGAATCACTAAAACCATATAGGTGCACCTCTACTTTCCGTGAGTGTACTCCCTATGTTTAGCACTTCTTGAACTAGTGTTAAATCTCAATTTTCATTGCAGAAACAACACCTTAGATAATCACAATTAATGGTACCAGATTAATCATGATTTAAGGAGTCAAAGTGCTAAATAACTTGCTCAAATCATAGCAATCAAATAACCAAATAAAAACACTAACAATCATAGAAAGTTCAACCAAACCCAAGGTATAAACTTTAAAAATACATAATGAACACAAAATCCAGAACTTGTATATTAACTAAACTTGGAATCAAGTACAAAAGATAAAGAGTTTGGAAGGAATACAACCCTTGTCACATGAGCTTTCTTCCTTGCCTTCTTCATCCTCCATCTTCATCCTAATCTAGATAATAAACAAGAATGGACAAACTATACTACTCTATACTAAGCTAAACTAACACTAAGAGAATGGAAGAGCTACATTTTTGCAGACTCCAAGCTTCTCCCGTATCTCTCTCTATTCTATTGTTGGATCTCCAATCACTTCTTCTTGCAATGAATTTTGCTATTTAATGATGAAAATTGGTCAAGAAATGAAGCTTTACACTTTCTCCTTATAGCTGGTAATGTTTCTCACATGTCTAGCATCGCATGTGAGTTGGTGGGAGTGAAATTGAGTTTTACGCGTACAGAGCAGCCTTTTCTGACCGCAATCCAGCTCTAAATCCGGCCAAGTTCCGGCCGGATTGATACAGTAAATCTGGGCTGCTACAGTGATCCGAGCTGCTACAGTACCTCGGCGATCCGTATGGATCCGAGCTCGGTTCCACTTACCCAGAAACAGCCAAGGGTTCGGATGAATAGTGGATCCGAGTGCGGATCACTTGCTCTGTTTTTGGCCAATTTCAACTGATCTTTTCTTGATGTTAGAGGCTGAACCAGCTCATGTCTAAAACACAAAAGTTGTAGCCTTTTGAGTTATCTTTCAATGCATCAAGAATCACCTCATATGGATCTGTGTAGGCTGAGATATGACCGAAATACCCTTGCCTGCTCATTGCCCTGTTTCAGCTTCGACCAAATGAAATTGGCTACTGTACTTCAGCTTTTTGACTTGGAAAACTTAAAACTGGATTCAGATGTCTTCACCAAAGTTGTAGATCTATCTCTTATCTTTAAATTGGTTCAAAACTCATCTTAATCCGATCACTGTAGCTCAAGTTATAGCCAAAATACGAAAATGTGTCAAAACTGTCAAAATGCACAAAATCCCACTAAAAAGTGATAAAAACCTCATTTAATCACTTAAAAGCCATTTTTCACCAATTATAGCCAAAATGATTCATTTTCTTCCAATAATATTACTAAAGTGACTAAAAATAATATGAAATATCATACAATTATTACGTAAATTAGTCACTTATCAAACAACAAACAATTTCAAAGCGTGGAAGAAAAAATGAAAAGTTTCAGCATTCCTGAGGCTAGCTCTTGAATGCTCCCAAAGCCTCCCCACTTTTGTGTTCAAGGAAGCAAACCTGATACTCAAAAGTTTCAAGAATCCTAAGTTGTGATAGTTTTGTTTGATTATCCATCCTCACCTTTACTTTTTATACACTAAAAATGCAAAATTTTTAAATCCTAAATTTTAGGGGATAAAATTATCTCATGATAGAATTGAATTCAAATATGTATTATCAATAATCTTAGGCAATGATGATAACTCTTGGATTTGGATACATACGTATGTGCATACATATACATATACATATACATATATATATATCTGTGTGTATGTGCATGGATATGTATATATACATATACATATACATACATACATACATACATATATATATGTGCGTATGTTTATATATATATATGTATGTAGGATTAATCTTTTATGTACTAACTAATAATTTATACACTATTAGATTTAATGTTTCCCACAAGTGCAATACATAAATTTCAAATTCAAATTAAGATTAATTATTATGCATGTCAGTACAGAGAAGATTAACCATATATTATTGATTATGCCAAGTTTTAAATTCAGATCAAGTCACATTTCAAATAAACTTTGTAGAATGACTCGGAACTTTCTTCCAAATTCCAAGTAAAAGCCACCACAATGCTAGAAAGAGAAGTAAGAAAGAAAAGATGTAAAATCATCATGCAGATATATAGTAGTGCTGCTTTCTTTTTCTAACAGCTGCTAAAACGTACATAGCAGGTTTCGTTTGAAGTGGCAGATGCATTGAATCAGCCATTTGCAGATGGGTCATTCGATTTAATTTGGTGTATTGAATGTGAAAATCACATAAGCGATAAAACAAAGGTTATTTTTCTTCTTCTATCCTTAACAATTACTATTTCTCTTTTTTTTTTTTTTTTTTTTTTATCATTCTTTAAAAAAGATTATGTATCCTAATTGTTGAACGCACGTATCACATAAATGTCAATAATGTAAAATTTTTCTGATGCTATTTTCTTCTTGATGAAGTTTGTTCATGAGTTGAATCGGGTGGCTGCCCTGGTGCTACTATCATTTTACTCACTTGGTGTCATAGGGATCTTTCGCCCCTTGAAAACGATTTGCATCCAGATGAGAAAAAGTTGCTGACCCAAACGGGGAGCAGAAGTCGTGTTAAGTGGATTTCTACTGCTGATTACATAAATTTATTCCAGTCATGCTCTTTTCAGGTATTTAATCGCGTTTACTTTTTGCGGCTCATTTATTTGATCAGAAGCATTATTTTTCTTCATCATAAAGTTTTCCTTTTCCCGATTATCTAAGTCTCCTGTTGTTAATTAGGAGATCAAGTATGCGGACTGGTCTCCACACGTTGCTCCATATTATGCAGAACTGAGGAAGATAACGTTGTCATGGAAGGGAATCATGTCGTATGTTAGACATGCTGGTAAGCATTGTGTATTTCACTAGCATAGCCAATTCATTACCATTATCTACCTTGTAATTGTATGCTATAATTCTTAACCATTTCTCCATCTTTTCTCAATTTCAATTAATAGGATGGAGGCAAATGAGCATCAAGTTTCTGATGATGCCGTCAGTGTTCGACACATTCAAAAATGGTCTGCTTAAGTATTGCATTCTTACGTGCCAGAAGCCTCAGTAGTTCAGTTCCAGTGATGCTTAATGTCCATGCATAAATATCACTCCACAGTCGATAGTTCCTTGTTTTTTTTCTCAAAAGCTAATTTGTACTTGTATTGTTCCTCAAAACGTGAGAATCTTTCTGATTTTGAGATTTACCATTAGAATTTTCCTTTTTTTTTTCTTTGGAAGATCTACTATATTGTGCAAATGCGTTGCACAAGATCTTGATATTTGACATTGGAGTTTCGAATATCAAAACTGATGTCATTTCACCCATAAATTTGTAAGTAGTTTTTAAGTTCTCAGGTAATAGGAGAGTAAGAGGAGCCCTATTTTCCATCCACTTTAAGGACAAAAGAAAGAACTTAAAAAAAAAAAAAAACTGGTCATTGGTCAAAAAGTTTAAAATGAAAAAAAAAAAGAGAAAAACTAATAGTTGGTCTAGTCTCTAGTATGTTCAAAAATGCTTGATTAAACCCATTCGCTGTATACCTGTCATTAGACCTTCTGGCGAATACTTGGTTGCAGTCAAAAGCATAAAAATTTACTATTTCTTCTTTTTTTTTTTTTGGGGCTGGGACCACAACTGAGCGCTTTGACTCAACTTGTAATACATGTTATACCGAGAACTAGCAGACTTGGTCCACCTAAAATTGAAATAAAAAGAAAAAATTCCAGTCGAGTTGTCAAACCTGAGGTGGAACTTTTAGTTGCATATTAATCCAAGTTTTTTTACTTTTCTTTTAAGAAAAGCAAATTAGTCTAAGTTGAACTCTCTTAATTAAATGCTTAAATTTGCATGTCTCATTCTTGACAAGTCTCTTAGTGCCTGAAGCAAGTATAACTTTGAGAAAAGTCAAAATTTAGTCTCCAACGGCTGGAGATGAGAAAACCAAATAAAAAATGTAGAAAAATTAAGATGCCAAGATAAATGAAAAGAGGCGTACCCACGGCCACGGATGGTACACTGCAGTTTCCAAAAGAGACATCCAATAAAAAGTTTAATTCTAATAATTTGATATCTAAGTGAAAGATGTCTTTCTTTTTCAATACTTGGAATAGTCTCTTTTTTTTTTTTGAATAATGGCAAACCCCATACATGGGGGGAGGGATGTCACCTCTAAATTTTATTAAAAATGTAAATTAGAAAAGAAAGTATTGATTATTCAATACTTGGAATAATCAATACCACGTATAATATATGCAAAATGGGCACTTATAAACTGAGTACATAGAAAGCTTAAGGGTATTTTTGTTTTCAAGTAGATATTGATAATAGAATATAGTGGCAAAATGGCCAGCTGACCAAGGCCTCCCATGTACCGAATACATCGAAAGTTCAAGAAGTCGAAGGGTATTTTTTGTTTTCAAGTAGACACTGATAACAAAATATAGTGGCAAAAAGCCCAACTGACCAAGACAATACTAATTATCGGAAGGTAAAAAAAAAAAAATCACTAAATCTTCACGTCGAGTATGGAATCAGGCTTTCACTCGAAAGCTTCCATATGTGGTTTCTGCCCTTGAAGTTAGCGTCATTACCATAGTAAAGGAACATGGATTCAGGCTTTGACTCAAAATCCTTCATTTGAAGTTTTTCCTTCTTCTCATTTGTGTCATCGCCATTGTTAATGAGTACGGATTCATGTTTGGACTTGAAGTCCTTCATAAGCGCATTTCTTCTCATGTGCGGTCTATCCTCCTTTGAATTGGCATCATCTGCGTGGTAAAGGAACGTGGAACCAGGCTTTGACTTGAAGTCTTTCAATGTATTAGAGTGAAGGTGCTAATTTTGTTCAGTAAAGTTCTCAGGGTTGACAGCGGGTCAGAATGTCCCTGGATCCTTTCTTGCTTCCATGAAGCATGCAACCGGCACATTCAGGCAAAGGACACAATTGAAGAAACAAGCATCATTGTGTATAGGTACATAAACAAATCAGCGGAAGTATGTTGCACACCAAATTATAGCCTTGCTGGTCTTGCTTATCTTAAAGTGTCATTCTACACAGGTGAACCTAGTTAAAAAATTTTACGTAAATCTAGGACCATTAATTTCTTGCTCGTCAACCTTACCTACTATACCAACACCTTCTCAACCTATCTCTCTACCTCTATAGTGGAGACATTGGAGATGAATTCCTCTAACCAACGAAAGTAAACAGTTTCAAAAGTCAAGTTACAGGACATTTAAGTTTCTATAGCCCACATCGGAATGTTTTGAAAAGGAAAGCTTTATGAACATACAACTACAGAGCCACACGTCAGTTTTGCTCTCCTTAATCTGAAGAGTTTCCGATACCTCGGTCAGGATAGTTAGAGTTTTTTTTTTTTTTTTTTTTTTTTTTTGCTCCCCAAACTTTAAATTATATATATATAATATATATATATATATATATATATATATATATATCTCTTACTCGCTTCATCGACTAGTTTTTTTTTTTATTACCAACAATTGAACACATATAAGGAGGAACAAACCCCCAAAGACCTGAAGATTACAACCAGAACACACCCTAAGCCTCATCAATTACCCAACGAACCCCCGGCACTCCACGCGCGTCAAGAATAATCGAAGCCCGAACTAATGCCGGTAGTTGCTGAAAACTGATCATACACCCGGGTGCCTCCAGCCCCTATAGCTGCTAGCCTATCCGCAGAAGAATTGGCCTCGCGGAAAATATGTGAGAATGAAGCCGAAAAAACCTTGCAATAAATCTCTAACTTTCCTCAATGTATTGCATAATGGCCACTTAGCTATTACCCCCGAGCCAACCAGCTGCACCAACGTTTTGGAATCCACCTCGACTAATGACGGACAAAGCCCCCGTTGATGACACAACTGCAAACCACATAGCAGAGCCATACTTTCTGCCTCCAACACAGCCTATCTCCAAATTTTTGTAAAAAGCAAAAATCAATTTTCCCTGACTATCGCAACAGACCACCACCCGAGGCCCTACCACAATTCACGCTGGCGTCCGAGTTGAGCTTAAGCAGCCCCAGCGGAGGTTTCTCCCAGGCAACCGCACAAGGGATTCCTCCGCGGAGAGACCTTAATGGATCTTAGCAACTCGCAATCCGCATCCCCTGTAAAGTGCGCCCGACGAAACTTACCTGCCCTTCCAAGCTGTTCTAAAAAATAGTCCACCTCGCAGAGTATCTTGCCGACCTCCCATCGCAGGCCCTGATAACGCTCCTGGTTCCTGGCTAGCCAAAGGAACCAGCACACTACAATTGGCATGACTACCCGAATGTGATCCTTCGCAGAGGAAACTGAAGTAAAGTGCCAAGAGACAAATACCGACGCCATACTCGAGCAATTACGCAAATGAAAACCAAAACGGCCAGACACTCTCCGCCACACTTCCGATGCAACCGGGCCAGTCAAGAAAACATGCAAAAGAGCCTCCTCCGCCTGGTAGCAACACCCGCACCGAGAAGGGCAAAGCCAAACCCCGACAACGCAACGTCATATCCAGAGGAGGAAATTACGCACCAATCTCCAAGCCAAGAAAGACATTTTTGCCGGCAAAACCGAAGGCCAAAGTAGGGAGTCAACAAGAGACCGATGCTTCCTTTGCCGAAGCACCTCCCATGCCGACTTAACCGTGAAGCATCCCGTTGGATAAGGCAACCATACCATCATATCCTTCCGAGCTAAATCATGGGGTACTTCTTTGATCGCCTGGACGACAAACCCTGGAACCCACCGGCCAAGACGCGTTTCATCCCATCCATCGCTGGCAATAAACTCCGCGACAAGGAAATGGGGCTTCTCAGATCGATCCACCACACTCTCTAACGGCTCCTGGAAAACCCATCTATCCTTCAAAAATCCACAGGCCTTCCCCTAAGCACCACCTAATGTTCTGTTCAGCCATTTGACGTATGGCTATAAGACGCCTCCAAGTACCTGAAGCCCGCTCTACCAATGCCTCCGACGGATGAACCCTTTGATGTATTTGGCATGCATGAACTTTGCCCAAATGGGCTCTCCAAGCCTAAACCGCCACCATAGTTTTACCGCAAATGCCCTTGCCATGTCCGTAAAGGACCGAAAACCCAGGCCCCCTTCGTCAATGGGAAAACACATCTTGTCCCAGGAGGACCAATGAATGCGCCTCTCCCCCTTATCATCCCAGAGAAAGGCATTACAAATTTTACCCAATCGTGTGGTCACCGCCTTTGGAGGATTCAACACCTGAAGTAAGTACATCGGAAATGAAGCAAGTACATGCCGTGCTAAGACCAGCTTGCCCCCAAAGGACAACAACTTAGTACTCCAGTGTCCAAGACGGGCCCGCATTTTCGAAATAATATCATCAAACAAGAAACCCCGCCTCCGACCTTTATATATAGGAGCGCCCAAATAAATGAATGGGAAAGATTGCCTGCGAAATCCTAGAACCCGAGTCACCAACTGCTCCTGTCCCGACGTAGCCCCTGAAGGCAGAAAAAAGGAGCTCTTGTTAACATTCACCTTTTGACCTGAAGCCTCCTCATACTCCATCAAAAAACCCTTTATTGCGGACAGGCAATCCTCTGAGCATCTTGTAAACAAGAGCATGTCATCTGCGAAGGCCAAGTACGGCACCGGACTCCCTGCTTAACAAAATACCGACCGGCTGCCGCTCCAGCAAATGATGTAACCCGCGGCCTAAAAAATCGGCCACTAACACAAACAGGCCAGGAGAAACCGGGTCACCCTGCCTAACACCCCTTGAAGATTTAAAGAAACCAGCAGCCTCACCATTCACAAAACTGAAAACCAATTATTAGACACGAGCCGAAAGAAAATGTCAACCACCTGCTCCGCAAAACCAAATCTCCGAAGCATAAACAAAATAAACGGCCACTCGACCTGTCATACGCCTTTTCCATATCCAACTTTAACATGAGGTTCGGATGTCTCAACCGCCTATCTAAATCGCCACCAACTCCTGCGTCAGAAGGATGTTATCCGTTATCCCCCGTCCTGGTACAAAACCAGTCTGCCACTGTGATACTAAGGCCGGGAGAACCCTACCCAACCGATCCGAAACGAGCTTAGAAATAATTTTCGAACAGACATTGCAAAGACTAATTGGCCGAAAATCCTTCCACTGCATGGCGCCCTGCAATCTTAGGCAGTAAAATAATAGACGTGCTAGTAAAGCTCCGAGGCAAACGCATACCCTGGAAGAATGCCTGAACCGCCTGCAATAAATCTGACTGGAT